TCTGTTAGTCATCGTGTTGAGTTAGCTGTTTTTGCATAACTCTCATGCTGTCAAAAGATGAAGTGTGGAACCAGAGTCGAAAATTCACACATTAAAGCACTGCTTTCCCAAAGAACTTCTTTTACCGAATTATACTTCTTGGGATGCAGATTTTCCAATATGATGAAGTTTATTGTTATTCAGACGATAGTGAAGGTTGTACACGTCAACGGCGTGAAATACGTAGGTAAAAACGTCCTTGTGATTTAAAATACGTGTAATGATTCTATGCCATGACTGTTGAAACACACGAAAATCTTAAATTATTTGTTTACTTTGGTGTCGAATGAAGATAGCTCTTTTGAGGTTTCACATTTCTTCATGCTGTAACAGGCTTTTCCCTAATCAAGCTTTTAAACACAGTGCTTTGCTTTGTATGCCATCGCCAGACCGATATATCAACTTACTGAGATCTCATCCGAAATCCAGGCTGGCCTTGCTCCCCGTATGAACGTACATTTCTGATCATGGACGACTGCGCGATTTTGATAGCCCAAAAAATGATTCCGGCGTTCCACTAGTCTTTCTACCTATTCTCCTTATGTACTGTCTAAAGTAATTACTAGAAATCATCAAATATTGAAGTTTGAGACTCCTTCCTAGAGGTTGTTGAAACACGCGCTTTAATAAAGCTGAAAATTAACATCCACATGTTTTTTTGAGTGTGTCACGAAGGCTTGCTGCAGGTTAATGAAACTCCGGATAACCCTCAGCAAACACGGATGACAGGTAGTTTTGTGCAATCGTTTCAAAAAGTTCTCTTTATTTCTTGTAGGCAGCTATTAGATATCACTTAGGTCTGCAGATAAAATTAATAAGAAAAATAGCATCAAATAGTAATATCGAATTTTAGGGGCATGCACCAATAGTGAGAATATTAATCTCCAATGAATTTGGCAATTTAACTTTAAAATCTGAAGATTTGTATGTTGAAAGTCAAATAAAAGAGGCTCAAGGACCCAGATGCAAACGGCATGCCTCGAACCTATGCCTCTGTGTTCACCAGCGACAAAACATTCGTCTGGGTTAGTGCAGTCAACTAAGTTCTAATAGCACTGTTAACACGCTGTTAAAAATTCACTCGTTTGCCTACTAAGTAGAGTTGATTAATAAAAAGTGTATCCTTGCCGTAAACGGCATTAAAATTCTTATCTCATAATTGACAAAACCTGATGTGGGTTTAACTGATTCGTAACATAATTTTGGGAAGAAATGACGGGCTTTATATTTCGGTCAAATAGACGTATCCGGAAACGATAAAAGCAGCGCTTCCGGAGCCAAACACCCTTCACTGTGTAATAGACCGACAGAAAACCGAAGACTACTTATCTGGGTCTCCATTTACAACCTGTACCACAGGTACTCAAAGTCCGTTTCAATATTTATGACAGTGCATTATCGAAGCAAACAAAAATCCAGCGATTTTGCCCACCGAATTTCTGGAGCAGGAGTGGTAGTTTGCCACATGTCACCTCATTGGGTTAAGCAGGATGGACAACCAAGATCGCGCATACCAAGCTCTACGCACACGACTCCAGTTAGTTCGCACAATGTCAGGAGGATAGCTGAACAAACGCACACCTGAGAAGAAGAAGAAAACTCGATCGCTTGGACAATACGTTTATTCACCTGACGTTTCGAGATCCGGATTCGTCCTCAGAGACATAGTCTAAGAGCAGTAGCAGAAACGGGTAACACATGCACAGGGGTTTGCAGTATTTATAGGACACAGTCATTGCTGAAAGACTTGCAGAGACAATTAACTTTACTCGCCTTCTTGTGCGTAGATAATTTGTTGGAGGGCATGCGGGCTCTGAACTGTTGAACTTTCATCACGCGTAGTGGACTGGGGCGTGATGATTGCTCAGCCATCTTGCCCTGTGGTGTTTGCGTAGGCCTGTCCATACCCCAAGTGGTGACTTGCTTTGGCCAACTTGATTCTCAGCACCGAGTAAGGATTGGGCAAATCGTTGCACTTGTTTATGGACTGGGAGCCCATGAACCGTTACTCAAGTAATTCTCGTCTCACACGATTGTTACCTCTTGCGAGAAATTCGGCCTCATCAAATTTGAATGCGTGGCCGGATCTCGTCGAATGAGCCGAAACTTGAGAATCGGCATCATTTCGCCGCACTGCTGCCGCGTGTTCGGCAATTCACGTCTTGATAAGTCTGCCAGTTTCTCCAACATAATTGCTTTGCCCGCAACTGCACCAGATCTTGTAGGCGACTGCAGATAATTCTTGCCGTGACAGTGAGTCTTTCGGTTTCATTATCTGGCGCCTTACGGTTGCCTCCGGCCTGTGTGCGACTATGTCTCTGATGACGAGTCCGCGAAGGATCTCGAAACGTCAGGCGAATCTAAGTATTGTCCCAGCGATCGAAACGTCTTCTTCTCTAAACTGAAACTGCTTCACCCCCCCCCCTCATACGTGCCTACGAGACCAAAATCAACCCACCCAAACAGCAACGACTGATCAGTTAGCTGGCTGACGAGGACAGACCAAGATGTACTGACTTGGCAGTAAATGCAATGGCCACATAGGGGACAAAGGTCACACAAGCCCGCCAACGGTCGATCAGGGAGAGTTCAACGTCATTCAAAAACAAATTTCGTCGATCGAGTACAGTTTGTACATGAGCATGGCAGAAAGACCGAATGTAAGCAAGACCAGCATGGACTAACACCGCCCTGTTTTTATAAGGGAAACGAATAACTTTCCATAATGTCAGTTCAAATATACTTCTGCCCGTTAACTGCCTTCCTCTTCTTCTTCTTTGCCTCCTTTGGGGCATGATGAACACCGTAGGCCGTCTGGATCTGGAATTTTCGCATTCACTGGATTTTTTACGAAAGTATTCCTTGAAGGTATGCCTATGCGAGAATTTGTAGTCTCAAGCCCTCAATGCACTGGAACCTGAAAGCCCTATTTACGGAGACTCCTTTTAATGCTTGGTCTTACTATAATCATAGTTTAAAAACACACAAACCGCATAATAGCACATTAAAACAGACCGTTTTTGGTCATTTCTACTTCGATAGCAAACATTAATTAACAGTAGAGAGGGGTACGGAAAAGACACAACAGGAAGTCTAATGGCGGGAGGATAGGCGCATCACGTGCGATCTCGTATTTGTCCAAATGTTTGCTACAGCTGATATTAAAATAAAAGAATATTGTAACTTTACCTGAAAGACAGTAATGAGGGACTGATAGAAGGTGTCAAAGTTCGAACGTGGTTTTCGCATGCGGAGGAAATTGAAACGTCCGCCGAAGAGTTGCATTCCAAGGAGGGCAAAAATGACAATGAAGAGGAAGAGTAGGACCAAGAGGCTGGCGATTGAACGCATACTGGCCAGTAAAGATCCAACCAAGTTGCGAAGACTGTTCCAGTACCTAAAGTGGTGGGAAAAATGGGCATTTGCTTATCGGTGCTGGCGTTTGCTGGCGGCAGGTTACTGAACATGGGTTGTGTAAAGGAATCAGGAGTTGTTGTTGTTCCTCCATACTTGAACAGAATACCAAGAGGATAGATAGTAATTGGGTGATGGAAATGAGTATAGTGCATACGTGCATGCTTCAGCCTTCATTTCCAAGTGTTTTTGACCGATAACACATTCGTTCTGGCACAGCCCCAATTGAATGTCTTAGCAGGGAAATTTGTCCACAGAGATCTAGATAGCCTAGCACTTTCCTTTGCTTCGATAATGCTTGCCTCAAAATATTCCAGTGACCTTAATTTACTATTTTTTTCAATCTTTGTAAAGCTTGTTGCACACTTTAACATATTGCTGCTTTTGCTGGGACTTATAAGTGACTTTTGTAGACACCTGTCTACATAAACACTCTCTCTCTCTGGGGGCCATTGGTTGTCATTCTTGAAATTGAAAGGGCATCTGCTAAAAACATCTGCACATATATGGTCACATGGAGACGTATTTTAGTAGTTCCATTTGCAACTATCCACATATGGTCGAAAAAGCATGAGGTCGATACCGAATAGTCAGCTGAGCGTTGCCGAAAAAGACAAGGGAGACTGGAATAGTCATTCCCGCTTATCAGCCGTCATCAGTCAGTCCTATACATTCACAAGTGCAGCTCTATGTGAGGCTCGAGCCCGCGACCTTTAGAGTATGTCTCAGACTTGTCTAAGATTACCTATGACTAAGGATTCCCGACGGAATCCAAAACGTCGGGACAATAAAACTCTTAATACAGTGATCGCTTCTTCTTCTTCGGAATCTTGCTGTGTCTGTAATATTTTGAGCTTATGCTCCAC